CCCCCCCCACCTCCCGCTCACGCTATAGGGACAGGCCACCCTTCCCCCAATGGGTGGTGTACAGCCGCAACCTTCTTCCCCCCGCCAGCCTGGAACAACAGGGGGAGGAGAGGGGAAGCAGCGCATGGCCCCTTTCCTGGAGCATGGGGAGAGTGGGGTGGGCCTTCCTGGCACTGGAGGGCACATAGCAGGCAGCCCTCCTGGCGGCGCATGCATGGGGCCAGGCTGGCAGTTTGGGAAGCTGTTATCTTTCCCTGCCTCCGATTTCTGCCCTCCAGGATGTTGAGGGAACGGGATTATCTTCTGCCAGCTACAGCTCCCATGGAGATGCCAGGTCGGGTGTTCTTCACAAAGCTGTAAAACAGAACCCAGAGGCCCTGTGTATGGTCTTCCTCTTCCTCAGCTGACTTGTGAGCGGGAAGCTGAAGCAAAGCTTAACTAGAAAATAATAATAAAAGTTGCAACCCAATGGAGGCAGGCCGGCCTTGGAGTCGGATTGTGGAGGCAGGTAATTCAGGGCGCTACGCCTGATGTAGGGCCGAGCCCAGTGATGCCACCTTGCTTTAAGGATTCTTTGAAGATGAGCTTCGATCATATTCTTGAGTCTCCACCAGTCCTCTCTAGTTCCTTGGCTGACGACAGGCCTTCTAGGGCCACAGCTTAGCTGCAAAACCCTAAAATGTCTCTGCAGAGCATCTGTTCACCCATTTTGAAGAGGTTTTTTTAATACAACATGGACAAATTTGGTTAGATTTTTTGTACACACACACCCACCCCTTACCCCCCTTCCCGGCCAGAGTTCAATCCATTGCTGCAAAGCATGGAAGAGAATGAACTTCTCAACCAAAGCGTTGTAAGAATTTTTTTTTTAAATGGGTGCAACGTGTTTTCCACTAACGTTGTTCTTGGAAACAGATGATGTTTCTTGCAGAAACTTTTCTTCAGAATCATTCCAAGACACCCAGCATGGGAAATGTCAGCCCAGGTGGGTGAAATTTGACAAGGTTGCAAGCAGCTGATGACCGGTCCTGCAGCCTTGGCTAAAAGCGATGCTGTCAGCCCTGACTTTCGAGTCCTAGAGCTGGAAACGGATTCACAGCACTTCTCACGTCAAGGCCATTTCCCACATACCTAATAGCGCTAATAGCAGCACTGATGTTGCTGGCGATGCTCTTAAACCATCAGGAGAGGGAACCAAAAACTTGTCTTTACCCTGCTAGACTCCCAAGTTGCTTTAATGGGTAGAGTTATTTCCCTTGGCTCCGAAAATAATATTCTAGTCCAGTGCTTTTTTGTTTAAAATAATAATTTTTTTTTAAAAGTGCCGATACTCCAGGGGAAAAGTTGTTGAGCTCTGACTGGAGGTGCTGGTACTGTGTACTGGGCAGTACCGTCACAAAAAAAGCACTGTTCTAGTCCAGCTGGGCACATGAAGTTGGAACCTCTTACTCTAGCTTTTCTAATTCACACAGGCCCTGTCCCCCTCTCTGACTTTGTCTCCTTGGGAATGCCCTTTCTGGCTCTGTTGTGCCCAGGGCAGGTTGCAAGCTCTCCGGCGTGTTTTAAATAGCAAAAGGGGAAGATTTTTTGCCCCTTAGAAATCTGGGGTTTTGCATGAGGATCTGGCCAATGGGTCTAGGTTTTGCAGGCGAGTCTTGATCAGTGGTAGCAAATTCCAATTTCTGTGGTGCAAATGCAGTTGGGAGATGGAGGGTAATTCCTTTTGATGACCCTTCTGTCATTTTTAGGCTTGACATTGGATGTCTTCTATGGCTTATTTGTGGAGCCTAAATATGGTCCTCCAAAGACTTTGCATTCCCTCAATTTAAGAGGGAATCTCTATCTTCATTCTGCCACATTATCCAAGTAATATTTTCTATTCTTTTCCCCTTGTTATGGAGTAACAGGTTGAAGTTTATATTCATTGGCATGCAAGGTTACATTACCTGAGAAGCCATCACTTTCAGGTATTTAAGCCCGGATCTCACCGCACCCTTAAACATGGCATTCTTACATTTATTATAGAACCGGGATGTCCAACCAGTTCTGAAGCAATAGCCACCGTAGTGGCTAAACCCAAAATGGACAAATGTTGTTCTTGTTTTTATCTTTTTTAGCCACTCTCAACCAGCCAAATAGCAACATGTGTGTGGCTAATGTGTTGGACACCACAGTTATAGAAAATAGGTTTGAAATTCAGTCTGCCCTGGAGTAGTTAGAGAAACAAAATACAGGACTACGCAGTACTTTAAAGACTAACAAGATGGTTTATTAGATGATGAGCTTTCGTGGGCTAGACCCACTTCCTCAGATCGAATAGTGGAAGTGGGTCTGGCCCACGAAAGCTCATCACCTAATAAACCATCTTGTTAGTCTTTAAAGTGCTACATAGTCCTGTTTTTTGTTTCAGCTACACCAGACTAACATGGCTGCATCTCTATCACTATGTCTCTAAATATATATATATATATAACTTTTACAAGAATTCTGTGTGGAAAGGAGCTACCGTGCCGGCAGGAAATCTCTGATAGGCCAAAAAGAATTGCAAAGCCCCAGAAATGTGTGCATATAAAAGAGAACAACGTGTTCTATGGGCTCTCCATTCTTCAAAACGCTTTACCAGAAGCCGGATGGCAGTTAATTTGGAGTACGCAGTTCTACAGCCACCTAATGTGGCTGCAAGAGGGCGCTGTGATAGGATGGAAATGCCAAAATGGAGAGCAGAAGGCAGGAACACGCTATAGGGACAATTCTGCAGGAACAATTCTGGAGCTCAGCAAGCCTGCTGGCCATGCTCTAGCAGAAGGAAGGATTTGCAAGGGGGTGGTATGTTCAGTGGAGGAGGATGGCAAGCAGAAAGACAGGAGCTGTGCTTATTGCAACAAATGGACTACTCGGGGAGGGTGTCCCCAAAAGGAGGGCAGGTGCTCACAGACCAGGTGACAGTGGATCCCCACAAGCAAGCCACACATACCTGGAAGAGTACCGCAGTTGGAAACAGGCCTGCCAGCAGGGCGTTAGGGGTGGGCAGAAGGGGCAGTTACCCCTGGCCTGGTGATTCAGAGGGGCTTAGGGCTCTGACAGCTGCACTGACCAAAGTAGGAGCCCCAGGACCTTTAAATCGCTGCTGGAGTGATGCCCCACAGGTTCTGGGCAGCACTAAGGACTGGCGGGGGAGGTGCTGCGCTCTGGGTGGCACTGAGGACCGACTGCTCCTGGCCCTGCCCCTTCCGGGAGTGGAGAGCGCGCGCGCTCTCTGTCTTACACACACACACTCTCTAACACACACAGACACACTCACACACACACACACACCTTACCCTCGCCCAGGAGCCCACGCAGGCTGTGTGCTCCGCTGGTTGGAAGAGACCCAGGGGAGGGTACCTGACGAGTTTCATATGCTACCCAAGTGAGCTCCTTGGTGGGAACCTGGTGCAGTCAGAAAACCTGGTTTCCCCTCTCTCCCCTTAACCATGAGCGCCTTCTCCCCCCTCCCGCCCCCCC